TTGAACAGCTTGTTAAGTGCACATTGTGTTCGATTTTTATTACCTTACATGCAGTGTATACTGATTCAACCCACTGAACGGTATATTCCCTACAGTAAGAGTGTGTCCCAACAGCTTGGTCCATAATGAGTGGACTGAGCATCCTCTCATAATCCTTTGCAAGGACTCTGCCGAGAAAGACATTGCACTTTGTAGACCTTGAGGTTGAACAAATTCTTAATAAGGCTAAGCGTAGAGACCCATCGGTTAAGAAAACGCAAATGGCAACATGCAAATTAATTTTGGGTCAGTTGAAACAAAAAACTGTTTTGGTCTTAGTTTTGATGACGTCTTAGACAGCAAACTGGAGAAAGTCTGGTAATGAGTCTCTCATATTAGTTCCCAGTCCCTTCACCGTGGAACGTTTTTGGCGGCGTGAACGATTTAACTCCACGGTATTTTTGTATGTAAGGCTATTTTGCCCTTGGAAAACGTGGTCATTACGAGATCAAAACACGTAGTGATGTGATTTAATATATAGATACATCATGAATACCTCAACACTTGGACTTTCTAGGAAACCAAGCTTAACCCAAGAGAGAGAAAAGCTTGAACGCGACCAGGTATATTGGAAGCCTTATGATTTTAATAATATTGGTTTTATGGGTTTTATGGGTATGATTTTGGTTTGAATTTGTCACAAGGCTTTTCTTCTTTCGGGACAAGTTAAATTTTCCATGTTCTTAACGGCGAATTTCGATTTGATAGGGTTTGTATTTTCATAGTGTTTCAATCATAACATCGGATTGCGATTATGGCAGAATGAATCTAATTTGATTTCTTTCATAACAATTGAAGAAACTGTGAAAGAGCAAAATAAATAAGAAATATCTTACTGACGTCATTAGGTTTAAAAAATAATAACCTGGACTTAACATAAAATTTGGAAACAATCTGCATGTCTGTTTTAATATTTGTGCTGTGTTAAGATTTTTATCAGCGTCCGATTGCCATTGTTTTGTTTTGGAACGTAAGCTAACAGTGAAAGATCGACGGTTAATTGGCGTTAGTTTCTAGCATGAGAATATTGAATTCGGGCCATTGTTTCTGGGTATTTCCGTAGAAAAATCGCTGCTAATTAGCACACTAATTGTGGCTGAGACTAAGGCAGAGTTGCATGAAGCAGATATGCAAAGGACGGCTCTGTTGTCAACACTCTCAAATGTAAAAAAGTTACATGTGAATTGTGATGGTTCACTGCACATACTAAGCACATATATATTAAAAGCTTGAACGTCTGTATGGAAACGTAAAAATGTTGAAAAAAAAATGAAAAGGTGAGCTATTTAAAAGCAGCAAAATTTTCTTTTTTCTGCGACTAGCCACATAAAAAAAATATGTATATTATAAATCGGGGAATGTACATCATTCCAAAAAAAATGTGACGGTCACAGTCTATATATTTGCCCTCTCTTGCCAAAGTGTCTGATCTATAAACTTATAATTATTATTTCTTGCCATAACATCATATAGTACAGTAAGAGTTTGAACTAATGTGATTCGAACAAATCATTCTTGTTGTCTTTAGAACTAATTTCTGGTACTTTTAACGGTAATTATTGTCCCAATGCGGAAGGTGTGGATATTGTAC